CTGAGGATCTCATCTTTCAGCACTATGTATTGGACAGTGTTTCAGGGCTATTTATAAAGTTTTCCAGTAATATTTCAGACAGTGTTTCACTGCTATTCAGAAGGTTTTCACTGGCCAGTTCCTTGAGAAGTGGATAGCCTCTTACTTCTTCTGAGTCTGTCTTAATGTGGAAGCTCCGCTGAAACTTCTCCACCATGGGTAATACTTCTGGCATTTGAAACACTGGTGGCATAGCCTATAGCCACTCAACAGCACTCCAGCCACCACAGTACAATGAACTGACAGACAAGTTTGTCTGCTTTAGTTGTTACCAACTGCTGTGCTCATTTCCTTGTCTCCCTCACCCTGCTTGCTTACCTGGCCTGCTCCCGGGGTGCTCCACCAAAACACCCATCTTCCACTGCTCCAATCTGGCTTACTGAGCCCTGTCCTTGGGGTGCTCCATGGACACAATCACTTGCCTTCTGCTGGTCCTGGGCTGGCTTACTGTGACCTTCCCCTGGGGTGCTCCATGCACATTCTTTTATAGTATTTATATGTTTGAATTATATTGACATTTGTAAAAAAGTGATCCTAATATGAGAAAATGAAATTTGAGTTATTTTTAACTTTTTTCTGACATTATTTATTATGCTTTCAATATTACTGTACATCTAAGACTAGAGTTATAACAATATTTCTTGTTTATCTTCTAGAGGGGCAGTTAAGGCACATAAAAACTGGGGAGCCATTTGTTTTTAACTACCGGGAAGACTTGCACAGATGGAACCAGAAAAGATATGAAGCTCTAGGAGAGGTATGTTTGTATCCTTCATATTGTCCTTTAACTTAATTTGTTCCAATTTTAAATACAATAAGTCTTTGGGTTACAAATGTCTGATTTATGGACAACATGTACTTGCCCTAATGTTATATAAATTTGTCCTCACTTTGAAACAACTGAACCAGCTCCTACTGGTAATATATTCTTTACCACAGTCACCTTCACTTGGTGCACAGTACGCTTTTAAATCATTGGAAAGGCTTCAAGTCTTTTTTTTGCACTAAAGTAAAGTTAAATGAGAACTATATGCACTATATGCAGCCACAGGGACCCAGGTGAGAAGAGGGAATTCAGGAATGCTCAAAGCAGCAGGGTGGGAGAGCAGGAGAAAGGGGATGAAAAAGCCAGCAACCCAGGCAGAGGAGCAGTCAGCTGCAGGGATCCAGGTGAGGAGAGGGAACTCAAGCACATCCAAAGCAGCAGGGTGGAAGAGTGGGCGAAAAGGGATAAAAAAGCCAGGAACCTGGACAGAGGAGCAGTCAGCTTCAGGGATCCAGGTGAGGAGAGGAACTCAGGCACACCCAAAGCAGCAGGGCGGGAGAGCAGGAGAAAGGGGATTAAAAGGCCTAGGATTCTGGACAGAGGAGGGGTCAGCCACAGGGACCCAGGTAAGTGTGGTACGAGAGGTTTCCAACAGAGAGGCAAACTTGTCTGTCGGTTTGTTCTACCGTGATGACGTATTGATGTCAGTTTTGAGGCTGAGCCACTGGCGTTTCTAACCCAGGGGGATACACATGGTATACAGATATCATCCCAGCTTACAGACTGAGACAGACTAGGAAGAAAGAAGAGGCCATCCACTTCTCAAATAATTGGCCAGGGAAAACCTTATGAATAGCAAAGAAACACTGTTTGGTACATTACCGCGCAACTTTATGAATAGTCCGGTTAGGTTAGAAGGC